TTTTTAAATGAAACAGACTCATGGAACTCGTGAGATCTTAACAAATTAGGAGAAAGGAGAATATTTGAAATCATGCATTTTTAGGAGTCCAATTGTATATGCTGAACTTTTTTTAAAGTTACTCTTGTGAATTTTTATAGTAGATTTCTCTGATTAAGATGTGATTAGAAATTTAGAATTGCGGTCAAGTTGAACAAAAGTAAAAATCAAACTTTTCAAAAGAAAAAATAAATCAATTGGTCAAAAAACTTTGGCAGGATTTTTTTTTGGTTGTGTGAAAGGTTTGGCAGGATAGGCCAAGCTCAAAGGCTATTTCCACCTAATCTCCATATTAATAATGTTATTCTTGAAAGTTCGGTATTTAATTAATGAATTTCATCCTATTAATATACAAATTAACTAGAATCGATGATGCCTTTATGTTCCACATCTAATTGTATACAAATTAACTAGAATCGATGATGCCTGTATAACTAACTAACTAAGAGTCTAAAGAGTCCTTTGCAAATTGCAACTATGTTAATACGACCCATGGTTTAAAAAGAAAAAAGGTGTAACAACGCATAAAAGTCAAAGATAAGCCATTGCAAATCAAAACTTGTAAGTTGTAACCTAACGTACATAAAAATGTTATTGTCATGTCATAGCCGGAATCAATTTCGATAATATAGGTATGGGAGAACTATTGCAAGGCAAACAAAAAAAAACATTAGGGAGATGCTAATACTATTCTTGTTTGAAAAAAAAAAATCAAGGTTGATTGGTCAAATCATGAAAGTATTGGTCCTCCCACAACTCAACTTGACGTGTTAGATTAGCTTTTCTCTCAAGAACCTCTTTTAAAGCTAGAGGGTCATACGGAGGAGGCATCTCACAAGGAGACTCTTCACTTGGAGACATTACCATAGACTCCGCCATGAAATCTCTCCACCGACCCGTCGCGGGACATCCCATACTATCCGGCGTAATCTCCACCGCATCCGAAGGAATCTTCGGTTTAAATTTCAAGAGCTTCGCGTACTCGTTGAGTAAATGAAACATGTAGTCATACACGTTCTCCATGTTCACCTCCTCTCTTATAAATCTACTCCCTAACTCTCCTATCTCACGCGCCTACACAAACAACAACAAAAATCAGGGTTAAATTTATACAAAACAAATTTCGAGGTCAAATGTGAGAAATCTTTTACTAGATTAACCTTGTCCACGTGTGTATTGCCCCAGTGTACGGCGAATTTGAGAGAAGTACACTTGGAGTCGTCTCTGATTGGCCAATAGTGTTGTAATGGCATCATTCCTCGTATGTAAAAATCGTAGAATCTTGGTTTTACGTATAATGGCATTGAATCACACGCCATTATGTACTTTTCACTAACCGACCATGCCCATCCTTCTATGTATATCTTGTATCTGTTCTAATCCCAACAAACATTATCAGAAAAATCAAATTATAAATCAAATTTAAAATGTATATGCGTATAAGTAACAAGTTTACTAACCTGTGAGTGCACTGGTTCTCTAGGTTTGAGTTCTTGAATCCTTCTTTTGATTCTTTATCCCAATCCTGTAAAACCATTTCTCAAATTCAGATAATTACCACATAATTAGATGTACAAAACTATACAAGGTTGTATCAAACTGATTTATATACTAGTTGTGATTTTACTTTGATTAATAGAAAAATTCACACCGAAAATAAACCAAATTTGAGTCTTAGTACCACTATTTTAATATTTTGAAAAGGTGAAATTTGGTAAAAACCTGAATATAGAGACGAGTATTCCAATCTTCATGTTCCGAAACATTACACTTCATAAGATCTCCTCTTGTGGGGTCCACATAAGGATTACCTCTCCAATAAGCATACGCCACGCGTTCATTCCATTGCGTCATATTGTTTCCTTTTTTAATTGCCTCCAACGACTTTACCCATGGCTTTATGTTGACTTCAGCCCTGGCCCATTCAAAGCCCATATCAGAAAAAGCCTTAAAATAATACTAATAAAACCCAGTATGTACATTAGGGTTTGCTTACCACCCCCAAAAGGACCAATCAGGGAAGACTATATCCAAGCTGACGTCATCAGAGCAATAACGGAAAAGTGGAGGTGGTTCTTTGTTTTGACCTGAAAAGTCAACAGATCGAACGACGGGGCGATCATCAGCGTCGAACATAAGGTCGAGATCGGGTAATCTATTAGGGTACCACCGTAACAACTGTACGATTCCCCACAGAGTAAAATCATCTCTTGTTTGGATTGACTTTCTGTATCTCTTAACGTACGCCTTTCCGTTGTGGATCACTAGTCTAAAATGCGCCGTTTTACTTGCTTTCTTGATCATGTCTTTAGTTATTCCCGTTTCTTTCCATGGACGTAGATCTTCGTAGATCCAACGGAAGTAAGAAGGACACGTGGATGGTTTTGAACGATTTGGATTTAATCTTGAGTCGAGGTTTTGATGTGGTTGGTTTTTTGGTACGTCGTTGCAGTGGTTAGGGAATTTTGGTGGTTCTGTTCTCTTTGTTACTAGCTTGAAACCTGCAAAAGCATTCTTGAAACCAAAAAAAAAAACAGAGAGATAAAGATTTTAACTTTGATGTGTTTTGTATTCACAAATGAAAGTTTAGTGATTTTTTTTAAATATAAAAACTTACGAAATCGAGATAGCCAAGAACGTCTAATAGAGCAGCTGATATGAATAGAGAAGCGATGGTGAAGATGGTTGCTTTCACGATGATCTTTCCAGGAAACGTTACCGT